GGCAGAGCAATTTCACTGAGCTGTCCAGTCTAAATTTTTCCTGTCCTATTCCAATTCCAGACTGTGCTGTCTTGTCTCATGTAAAAAAAAATAATAATAAATAATAATAATAAAATAAAACAGACTACTTTGTTGTTCTCTTTAGTCCAGTAGGGAAAACAATTTCTGGTCTTGTTCTATTCTATTATGTCCTGCACAGAGTTTTTGTTTTCTTGATAACATGAATTAACTTTGTGTGTACAGAGTTGTGATATGCAATAACAATAATAATGTTATAATAACAAGAGTGTGCAGATGCTCAGTGTTACTCATTTAGTAGCCCTACATTTTCTTGTTAACTAATCATGTGTATACACAGATGAACACTTTCTCACTCACTTTAGTTTTTTAATATTATTTTAACAGTACTTAAATAAAGGCTTAATATTATTTGCATGTAACTAAATATAGATAACACAGCTTATTAGTAGTAAATTAGAGCTTTTGTTGCAGAGCTATACTGTTCATAACTGATGTGATCTTCTTGTTTAGCCCTCTTCTTTTCTGGTGGCTCTGCTCTCTGCATAAACAGCCTACAGTGCGCATTCATCCAGAGCTTCTCCTCCCACAAGAGGAGCGAAACTAAACGGAACAGTGTCTGGGAGGAAGGCCGGGGAAGGAGCGGGATCGTCTGAAGAGCTGGAAGGATTCATGTCTCTCTGTGATTTCAGGGACTGGGGGAAACTGAACCAGGGTAGTTTCCCACAGGCTTAAAGAGAAAGTCTCTCTATGAAGGATTAATTACAGTGTTGAGTTAACTCTCAGTGTTAAACCAAAAATTGCTGTATTGAAAATCTCCTCGTTCATGTTCAGTCACTCATATAAACTCTGTAGTGTTAGTAATTCAAGAAGAAAAGAATGGCAACGCAGGTGTTTATTCAAAACAACAGGTGTTTATTCAACACTCTAGATGTTCACAACTGAACTCTGGTGATTGTGGTGTGTAAACACTGAACACTGAATTTAAAGACTCCCTTATGGGTGCTGTGCTACGGTTAAAGCACGAGTGCACATTTCCAGCCATTTGGCAGAGGAGAGAGAGAGAGAGAGAGAGAAAGAGAGAGAGAGAGAGAGAGCGGTATTTTTGGAATGAGCGTAGCTAACATGGTTAACGTCCCAAAGCACTGTGTGTGGTCCATGCATGTGTCCGGCAGAAGAGAAGAGAAGAGAAAAGAAGAAGAGAGGAGAGGTGAAAAGAGGAAAAGAGAAGAGAGGGGAGAAAAAGACAGGAAAGAAGAGGAAAGGAGGAGAGCAGAGGCATAGGATCAGTTTGTGGTCTTTTGTTCATGTCTACTGAAAACAAATAAAGTAAAACAGCACACGTGTGTTTATGCAGAAATGCCTTATACAATACATAAACTATTTATTTATTTTGTTTGTTTGTTTGTTTGTTTGTTAATGGGTACTTTTGCCACTTGTGCTCAGTGCACTCATGTGTATTTATTATAGCAATGTGAAGTGTATGAGGGGTTGTAAAAGGTTTGTGCACATGCGTTCCAGTGTGTTTCTGGGAGGTGAGGTCACGTGTGGAATAAAATTGAAATGATTTTTCAGTGTGGTTGATCTTAAAGACAGAGAGAACCTCTCAAGTTCAAGATTAATGGAAGAGCAGAAGTCTGCCTTGTGAGCATAAGGTCACAGGCTGGAGTCAAGGAACCCTTTGATATGAGGTACTAAGATCCAAAGCCTTCAGCAGCATTGCTACTGAAAATGATATATTATAGTTGTTATAATATATCAGTTACACAGTTGTAATGTAATTACCAGATATATCACTGAATGATTGTATTAAACTGGCATTAATGACGTCAGTGAAGTCGTTCTTGCTGACTGCTATTATGCTAAAATAACGTCTTACAAACCTGACACATCCTGTTTTAACTGCTCTGTTTCGTCCTGTTTACTCCTTATAAAATTACATCAAAGCGAACCACAGTGAAAATCACAGCGTGTCTATTTCACTCTCATCTAAAATAATGTTTCTCGGATTAGTCTGTTCTCTCAGAACGTCAAACTGAACACAGTGAATGTATGCGCCGTTCACACCAGCGAGGTAGAGACAAAGACGGT